GGGGGGCTAATTTACACCAGAACCATTCTGACAAGTAAATGCCCAACCTTGATTTATTCCAGCAGCAGAGTCCAGCAGCACAAATTCATTTTGATATGTTGTCACACAAGGCTTTCAAAAACTACATTGGCCTTCATTAAGTTAATCAACAATGGATTATATGCTTTGGTTTGAAATGTCTGGCAAAACACATAACTGATTAACATTTTTTCTCATTAATGGGATTTTTCTAATCAAGCATGTAGGGCACAAAAGATTCCAAATTGTTGCTATACTATTTCTGTAATATAAATGTTTAGCTATGCTTCCAAGTAAGGTTTTAAGGAGGAAAAAAATAACAACAAATTCTCCAAGCATCCATCATAAAATAGCATTGTGTATTATAAATGCACTTTCTGTCTAACCTTATAATAAACCATTTAGAACTTTTGGACTTAGTCATTTCTGAGAGGAAACAACCCTATAAATCCAGTTGATAAATCTATTTACTGCATTTGTATTTTACATGGATAACATATTTTTAAATACATGCAGTTAAATAAACCTTTCTGTAAAGGTTTGCTAGAACGGAATGGTAGAGAAAGGATATTCAGGAAAGAGTAGGGTGGAGGGATGATGTTCAGTCTCATTAAAATTGGAGAGGCCTTAGCAGTGAAATTTGGATACATTTCTAGACCCAACTCTTGCTGATGTTTAAAATATCTGTTCATAACTAAAACAACCAGATTTGGTCTTTTTACAGAACACAGATATTTATGAATTTTGGCATGAGCAACTCCAAACATTCAAAAATCATACAACTGACTTTAAAAACCTTGAGATTGTACAACAATTAATTTATATTTCTTTCTTATTAGTTTTTTATTTTTGAGCTGTGGCGTTACATACTAGACTTTACAACTATTGGGGCTAGAAACTTACTTTAAAAAGCTGAGATTCTACATAATAACTGGATTTCAGGAGATGGTGTTTTCACTAACATGCAAGCTATTGAGACTTTTGCAAAAAAAATGGTGAGAGTCAGCAGGATGGGTGACAGGTGTCAGACTGAAAGCCCTGCATAATCAAACCCATAGACTGTAAAATCTGGGCAAAAGTTTTGCAAGTTTCCCTATGCCATACCCCTCATATGTTCAACCCTGACCTGAAAAGAGGATGTTCGAGAGTAAAAGTGCTTTATAAACTCAGTTAAACTCTAGCCACTCTGATATGAACAGGTGCTAATTAACAGCAGCTATATAAAGTTTTCCTGACTTTGCACAAGCAAATCAACCATGAGGTAACAGCAGCTGTCACTAGGTGAAAGACACTTCCGGAAGAGGGAGACTTCCAACTGGTGAGCTCTAGTCTAGTGTTTCATGACCCGAAGCTGGTTGTGAGAACGTATGAAAGGGTCGAGAACAAACTTTAAAAATGGAGAAACCCGTGGGAAACCATGGCTTTTCCCTTGTAAGCCATCAGAGTTCCCACCTGCAAGGGGCTGCTTGGGGTGCCCCACACATGCCCTGCTGCCCCATGCACCCACCCCCTGCCCCACACACAGGGGCTGGGGCCTGGGGGCGGGAGGCAGCAGGTTGGGAGTGAGGGGCACTGGGTCAGGGCCGGCCATCAATGTTGACAAATGGATTCTGGTACAAAAAAAGGTGGAGAACCACTCTTAGTCAACAAAACTGCCTCTCGCATTACCGGTTCCCTGAACTATGCTCTCCCTCACCTAAAAAATGAGCATTTAAAACAACACTACCTGTTGTGCAGCACTTTTGACATGGACTAACAAAACATCAGTTTCATTATCACCAGTTTCAGATAAGAAAACTGAGGGCCAGGGTGTGAAGTGAGCTACCAGTCAGTGGCAGAGCTGGGACAAAAACCATGTTTCAAGTCCCAATCCACTAGGCAATACTGCCTCTTCCTTTTAAAAAAAGTCCATGTGAAACTACCAGATCTGGTTTATGTTCAGACAAAGCAGCACAGTGCATCGTGCCCACTGCTGATCAGCCTCTCGCAGGCTGGCCCAAGACAGATACAGGAGATATTGTGGCATTACATTTCTTTGGACAAAGTTTAGGGATGTAAATATCATTTAAAAATATTCATGTAACCTCCTCTAATTATACTGGTTAAACGACTGACTGATAACACAGGAGCTGGGACACAGCTGCTGCTGGGAGCAGCTCCTGGCTCCTAGAGCCCTTTGACTGGAAGGGAAGGAGGGAGGAGGCAAGCCCAGCTAGACAACACAGCCCAGGTGAAGCCCTGCTCTGGGAGGGAGGGATCACCTGTGAAAGAGCAGCTGATTGCTTAACTGATGAATTATTAGGCTGCTGCTATTTTCCTTTTAGGTTATGAATACTAGTCCCCCTTACCCTCCCTGCCCCCCCACCTCCTGCCTTCTGGCTCCTGCTAGGCCACCTCATGGCTTCCCTTCCTCCCTTCCCCCCCAGATTGCGTCTGCCCAAGCTAAAGGATAACCAGTAAGCTAACTGGTTATCACTGCCCTAACTGTTAAACAATTAATCATTTAACCTTTCACATCCCTACTTCGGTTTTGAAAAAATGTAAAATATAAACCAATTGTCCTCGGTGGGTTGATCTGAACAAATGAACATTTGTTTATTGTGATCAATATTGAAAAGTTAAGCATTCCCGAGTATCCAGGTTGTAGCCACATTGGTCTAGGGTAAAAGGCAATCAAGACTTGTAGTAGAGATGATATCTTTTATTAGACCAACAAGATTTTTGCAAAAAAAATTCTTTAATTGCAAGCTTTCAGGCACAAACACCCTTCATCAGGCATTGGAGAAAAGATTGTAAAAGTTCTCCTGGGTAGAAATGAAAGTTCATATTTCATAGGATTTCACAGAGGAGCCAGCAGATGGAGGAGTTATGCGCATACATGCTGGTATTGCCAGTTTTACATGCTGGACGTCATTTTGGCAGTGTTAAGCCGTACCTGTGGCACAAGTTTCTCAGAATACTTCCTGTACCCATACTGGTCAGTACTTTAGAAAGGCTTTAAAAATATTTTTATATAACCAGAGGAAAGCTGGAAAGGCTATTATCTGCTGCAAAAAAGAGAACAAACAGCAGCTCTAAAAAATGAGAAAGAGAAACATCAGCTGTTATCCACTGGCCATGACATGTTTTCTTTCACACTTTCTCTTGAACTTCTCCCCTAAGACTCGCACTTCTGAAATTCACTACCCAGAATTAAATGTTTTGGTCTGACAAAGGGGGCGGGGGGGGGGAGGAGCAGACAATTTTGGTAACAATTAAGTATGAATCTTAGGGCTCTCTGCAGTTAATAGAAAGATCTTTCTTTACAGCCACTTCTGATAGTAATGAACAACCAGCAGATCTTCATTGCCTGGGCAACCAAATCTCAATGTGAAAACAAAAACTAAAATTACACAATAAAGATACCACTTTTAAATCTTGAGGTAGATGGAGTCAGATCTACCATACACTGAAGGAATCTGGACAGAAAAATCTTAGTTTATCAGAATTAAATATTATACTGCTTAAGGTAGACACTTCACAGTAGAAACATTAACGGATCAACTATTAATATGTGTAGCTTTACATAAAGCGCCATGAATCAGTGCTCCCCACCCCGCAACTCAACAGATGTTTGCCTGTTGGGTTGTGGGGGTAGAAATTCAGCCTGCCTGCAGCCAAGGAGCTGCACCCCCCACCCCGGGGCTGTCTGCAGGAAGGGAGGGTAGAGGGGGAGTATGCGGCCGGCTGGTGTTTACCTGGTCTGAGCTGGGGGCTAGCATGGGTCGTGAGGCAGGGAAGCTCCAATCCACTCTCCCAACCCCCAAGCTCAGGCAGGGCAAACCCCCACTGGCAGCTTGCTCCCCTTCCCCCTGCCTTCCTGCAGACAGCCCTGGGGGCCAGGTTGGGTTGCATTAGCCCAGCCTCGATTGCGGCACAAATTAATCCTAGGGAACACAAGTGCCCTAAAGTGCTGCAAAGTGGAGCATCTTCGTCTGATCCCTGATTTGACAAGAGTTAATTTGTCGTATGATTAGCTACTTTAAAAATGCTCTGCAGCCATGCACGTGTGTCACGTCATAGCTGTAGAGAGCTTTCAGGGGGCTGATCGCATGAACACACATAACTTCAGTCCGCACCCACATTTAAAAAGAAGTGCCTCAGTGGGATAGGGTACAGTCTTCTTAACCTGTGATCCAGGGCAAGTCAGTTCACCTGACTGGGAAACTGGTTTCTCCATCTTTTAAAATGGCACATACTTTTGGCAGCTATGAATTAAAAGTGCCCTGTAAAATACTTGGCAGAGTAGGTTCAAATTTAAGTTCCTTTGACAGCATCCCAAATGACTAAAGTGAGCTTTTATCCCTCTTGCCTGGATTGCAGCCTCCTGGCTCTTCACAAAATTTACAGTTACGTCTTCTACTTTTCCATCAATCTCGGATTTCCCTCCCTAAACAATGATCACCAGAAAGCCAAATCTAGAGACAATTTATATGTTAAATGTAAGCATGCAGGGTCACTATGCTACTGCACACAGACTTGATGGATTCTCTTACGATATATGAAGCACTCC